GTAAAAATGGTGTGACACTTCTATAAAAAAATGATATGATGGTGGCAAATTTACGCGTTGTTTCATGTTCGTTTTTGATTTTGCTCATTTCGCGTGGTTTATTTGATCTTTTCCCGATCATGAAATTTTATGGTCGAAATCTTATCTCTGTCAAAACTCTCAACTGTTTAAAATCAATTTGAAGAATGTCTGCAATTCATTTCTACTCGGCAATTTTTAAATAAGCGGATACTTCATTTTTCTTTCACCTGTCTTCTTCCAACTTCTTTTTTGACCTTTGACTCAGCAATTTAGAAAAAGATAGGTCCAAAAGAGGCGTAAAAGGGATTTGGTTTTTACGAGGGGAAAAAAAAAGTAGATAATTGTAACCGAAGAATTCGCCAACTATTCAAAATGTCGCCAATATGTCTTATAGACATTTGTTAAATAAAAAATTTTTGATATAAGGTTAAATTCAACAACTTTGAACAATTTCTTCGACCTTCTTGTTCTTCTGTAACATGTATATCTATTCTTGTCAGTATAGATATATATGTTATTCATTTTCGCGAGTGTAAAATTTAATATCGATAAAATAATCATATTTGAAAATATGGGACATGCGAGATTTTGAATGCGCAAGATGTACGTGTTTTGTTTTCCTTAACAAAATAGTTTATTTGCAAATGCAAAATACTTTTGCCTTGCTGAAATATTTCGTAAACACAAGAAAAAAATTTATTGTCGGACAAAAAACAATTAACAAGCATCTATGGTAACATCGGTATAGATAAAACCGAAATTAATTAGTATCCATCATGCTTTTTGAGCACAGGTTTTTTTTTTGGGGGGGGGGCACAATTTAAAACAGAGTGTTATAAAAAATTTTTAATCTAGTATTTGCAGGTGGCGAATATGTCACTTTCCGCATTGGTGTAAAAAATGTTATTATGAAAAAGTGATAGGACAGTTGCGCGAAAAACTAAGAAGATATTTTTTTTATCTAAACTATGAAGAATTTTTTTGAAATAGAACTTAGGTTATTTTGGAACGAAATAATGACTGATATAATTAATATACACTGGTTATCGTAAATTAAGGAAAAATCACAAANAACTTAGGTTATTTTGGAACGAAATAATGACTGATATAATTAATATATTATGAAGACAAATTCCTTGTTCCTTAAAAATAAATTCTAATTACGTTACAAAAATTCATCTTCTCGAAAAAGAAAAAAAAGAAGAAAAAAAAAACCGAAATGGATGATTTGCAGCACTGCGATTCGTATTTAAGAACAAGAGACATTTCATGATATATTCTGCTTAACTTCTTTCTTGATATTTTAACTAGCGCTAAACATCATTCAAATTCTAAATGGATGATTTGTAGCTCTGCAATTCGTATTTAAAAACAAGAAACATTCCATGATACATTCTGTTTAACTTCTTTTTTGATATTTTAACCAGCGCTACACATCATTCTAAATGGATGATTTGTAGGTCTGCAATTCGTATTTAAGAACAAGAGACATTTCATGATACATTCTGTTTAACTTCTTTCTTGATATTTTAACCAGCGCTACACATCATTCAAAATGGATGATTTGTAGCGCTGCGATTCGTATTTAAGAACAAGAAACATTTCATGATATATTCTGTTTAACTTCTTTCTTGATATTTTAACCAGCGCTACACATCATTCAAAATGGATGATTTGTAGCGTTGCGATTCGTATTTAAGAGCAAGAAACACTTCATGGTATATACTGTTTAACTTCTTTCTCGGTATTTCAAAGTTAGAGAAAAATGAATTCAGAAAGTAAACCAAAGAGTTCAAATACCGAAAAAATGTTTTGACAACATCAAAATGCAAACAAAATATTGCAGGATTACTTCCCTATTGCGCAATCCTGCCATAAAATTTTTTGCATTTTGATATTTTGAAAAAAAATCAGCAGTTGAAAGTTCCTGGTTAACCCTAAATCTACCTACATTCACATTTTTCTAAACTTTAAATTAGTAACATAAGTGGAAGGGAATTCGCCATGAAGACCCTCCTAAGATAGTATCTAAAATAGCGGCGTATAAGGTGAATGAAAACGAAGTAAACCGATCACGTAAACACACAGAACAAAAAGATATCGGCGGAAATTCCTAATTGTAGCACTTTTCCCCTTATCTTTGTACAAATTACCTAACAGTCAAGAGTCATTACAGACATGACTTATTTTCGATAAGGAATCGGTAACTGTAAGCATAGTTACAATACGCATGCTCCAACAGAATTTTTTCACGCTCTGAAGCATATATTCACTAATCCGGAAAATTCTGTTACTTTGAGTGATTCCTGATCAAGAGATTACCAAAAACTGCTACAATAATGTTAAATAATGTAGTAATTGTGGCCATAATTTGACGTATGCACCATGTTGTGATCTATGGCAGTAAATTTGCAAGAGGGAAAGGACCTGCATGCACGTGTACCAACCAAGGAAAATCTTCAGATTTTGATTAGAGATCCTTATTTATTGACAGAATATTAAAAATGAATTCATTGTTTACCCACTAGCACGCACTTTTATAACAACAGGAACTTTTTTCAATATGCTGACCGGATGTGTAGTGGTCCAACACCTCCTAGAATAAGGAAGGCCTCAGCACGGATCAAATTAGTAGTCCGATGTGACGAAGTTAACTGCGCAGTGGTTGAAAATACGAAATATGTCATTACGTTTGGACTACTAAAGGATATTTATGGTAACCCGTGCAGAGGCCTACTCTTTTCTAGGAGGTGTTGAGTGGTCGGGGAGCTGATCTCCATCAGAAATGTTCTGGGTTCGAATCGGACAAGGAATGGATATTCTGTAATTTTTTGTACTATCTGTCCTTACTGTGGGAACAAAACTGGGTCACTTAATACAGTCCACCCCTGAAAGAGTGGCTAACAAATCTGTCCTACTAATACAGGAATGACGAATCGAGTGTGCATTGAAAAAAAAAAAAAATAGTGCGCGGAAGAAGTGAAACTTCGTAATGTGGAAATGAAAATAGGAAGGGGTAGAAATTGATTTTTAGTGAAATCATATTGTTTCTTTAAGACAAACTTTATTAACATTGCTTACAATTCACAATTGATCGCATCTTTTAATTATCATTTTCGAGTGGAGAAATATCCAAATCTATAACATTTACAATGGGATTATGATAACTAAAGTAAGATACGAAATGTTTGAGTTCTATTTTTTCAATATTTCTTGCAAAAACTGCATCAATGGTAGTTCCCCTTTTGGTTGTTGGATCATTCTTATCATTTATCATTTCCAATCCAAATTTGTCTTTAAGGAAGGTTAATAATGTTTCAGCTTCAGGTAACGAGAAATTCACATTAAAATCTCCTGCAAGGATCACAGGCCGCTAGTTGCCATGGTAGCGTTAAACGTTTAACGCAACCTTGTTGGAAGTCGCATCAGAAGTTTCACTTCAAAAAAACTTTTTTCACTATAAACTTCTTGAAAGTTGGCAGTTAAGTAGTTGCCAACTGCTCCGCTTTCCGTAAAAAGTAGTAAAGAGTTAAAGACTAAAGCAGACAAATTTTCATTCAGCTTTGCAAACATTTTAAAAACTTCATCGGGACGTAACTGAAACAGTGTAGCATTTCATATATGTTTGAATTATTTGCCACTAGTGGTAAAGCAAAATAAGTTTAAATCAAATTAATTAAATCAAGAATCATGCATTGAAGTATAAAATTTACTAACATTAGAAATAATTTTCAGGTAAAGAGGAGCAAGTTGGCATCACCGAGCTTGTACGGTTCGGTCTTTTGGAAAGATTTTGCAAAATGGTAGTATAATAATACTTAACTTTTATTACTGAGAATTTTTAGGTATTAACTTCTTCAATCCTGATATATTTTGACCAAGCACGGCCTGCAAATCGTTTTACAGTAGTCGCAGCTAAATTTTGAAAAATATGCATACTTTGCAATGCATACTATTCATGTATGCTGAAAATATTTTTATTTTGTTTATTGAAGTGTACAAACTTCAAAACTGATTTTATATTGGAAGTTATGCAGTTTTGAAAAAGTTCGTCGCAATTCTTTAATTTTTTCTAAATTGCTGTTACAGTTTATTTGGTAAGATTCACGTACCTTTGGTCTGAAGAGGTTAAGAATTTTGTTAAAATAAAGCAACTTTATCTACATTTTCAAGTATAACCGGCCAGGTGGCCGAGTGGTTAACGTGCCGAAATTGGTGGTTGTTGACTACCACCTGTGAATGTTGACAATCACAGTCGCTTTGGTAAATGTCGTAAACATATATACTAAGTTTAGTTAAGTGCCATTGCCCGGCAGGCCCTACATCAATTTTCCTAAGGTTCAGTGCCACTGCCCGGTATACTTTTTTCCTATGCCATACATCAATGTTTTTTAAAGGTCAAGTGCCACTGCCCAGTATGCATTTAGCTGGTACTCCAAATGTTTCTTCTAATCTATCCTCAGCAGATATTAAAATATCCAATAAATGTAATAATATCAACGAATAAATTAAAATCAAATCGAATATATTAAATATTTCGGACCTTCACCAAAGCGACTAAGTGATTGTTGACATTCACCGGTGAAAGTCGACATTCTCTTGATTTCTGTCGTTCACTGATACATTCTTACCACAAAGAAAAGGTTTCTCAACGACCACACAGTTGGTACATTTGTAGAATATAATTATGTATAAAAAATACTTATGATGATTTTTGACCATGCAATTGCGATGCTTTAACACTGAAGTGGTAGCTAAAAAAAAAATATCCATTTTGTTTTTAACTTAAGCAGACCACTATATTTTCTGTTTAGCACTCTATTATTATTCAATGAAATGTAAAGAATTGAATATAAATTTCTCCTAATCAATTGAATGTCAAATTAATAAAATTGGTAAATAAACTTGGCCATGTGACTCTCCTCTTCTATTCTTATGTGACAATGTCCTCTTTCGTGTGGCTATGTGATTTCAATGTGAAAATATCTTCATTCACGTTGTCGTTGACATGCCGTCCTTGTCAAGGGAAGTGCTAACCTTCTCTCCTTTCATGTAACACAATTCACGTTGACAATGTGACTTCAATGTGATAATGTCATTTTTTTTCTATAATTTAAGTTTTAAATTACAAATGTAGTTGAAAGAAAATTGGGCATGAAGGTTTACTTCCACGGTATAACATCTTACTAAACGGACGCGGTGAGTAATTTTGCTGGAAAAAAAAATTTTTTTTTAGGCCCTTCTACACCTACAGACTATATTTCTTGTACAAAGCAAAGTTTATGAGTTTTTCAGGGAAACTATGTCAATTGATGTATGAATGAATAGACGTATAACTGAAATTTAAAGAAATTAATCGAAAAAACGAGGCCGGGATAGCCTGGTCGGTAGGGCGCTGGGCCCATGTCCGAGAGTTCGAGGGTTCGGACCCTGCCGGCAGAAGATTTGACTGACGCACGTTAAATCTGTCGAGTGGCAAAGTTCTCCATGTTCCTATAACAAATCAATACATCTGGGGGTACTGGATTGGAGATCGATCGTTCTTTGATTCAGATCAAAATTACGATCTGTGACTGAATGAATGGATGTATGAATCGGTCCGCCCTATTAACGGGTGTGACGTATGGTGTGGCAAAAGTCGAATTCTTGGCCATAGCATGGCACCACTGGAAAACAAGAACAATCGCACCGCTCTGCCTAAACAGGCATACGTCAACAACACCAACAATCGAAAAAACATTATAATTTTAATTACGTAATAGCATAGTTAACTTGGTACTTAATATGGTGGAAAGCAACAGACGTAATGGCATATCCAGAAATATTTTTGGTTTGAACAAGTTGATGAATTTATCAAGAAATTGAATATTGATTGGTATATTTCCAATTGCCCATCTATTATTCCAGAGTGATACGGGCAAGCAATTATATAATAAACATCATAAACTGCACAAATGAAGAATCAAATATGAATAATTAAAATTATACATAATTTTTTTTTTAAATTATGGAATCATATGTAGCTCCAAAGTAAAAAAAAAAGATTCATTTTTGTGTACATATAAATTAATAAATTTAGAAAATGGCCCTGAGGGAGCGACTGCAGGGCTAAGCTACACCAGATACCTCCGAAATTAAAAATGCATGTCAAAGAAATTAAAAATGCATGTCATGAGTACGTTAAAATAGTTTTTGACTTTCCGAATTCTATTCTAATGTGTTAGGCAGATGTAGAGGGAATCTCTAAAAATAGATTATAGTTTGCACTCATATCAAGGTTGTGGTATAAAAAGATTACAGAATATATTAATGATTTTTATTTATTGAAAAGGTATTAAATAAAGAAATAATTTTGTTTTTAAATGTTTAAAATATGTTATGCATATTTCAGCATGACATGGTAGTTAAAACTGTTAATAAAATACACATAGAAAAAAAACTGAAAAAAAGTCATATTTATTATTTACATCTTGAACTCATACATGCAGACAATTATTTCCATGCAGATGAAAATTAAGTAAAAAAAAAAAAAATTCTTAAGCGAGAAAGATTTCTTTTTAGACACTTATTTCGAGTTTCTCGAATCCAAGGCAATTATTACTATGTACTTCGAGAAAAAAAAGATGCACAAACACAAAAAGAAAACAATTTTTAATTTTAGTTTGTTCGAAATGCCAAATCTGAAAATTTTTAACAAAATACATGACACACTAATCGGCATTAATCCAATTGTGCTTAGCTACTTTTTAAAAAGACAGTTTCTTTTTATAATACTAATATAACAATACTATATAATTTTACAATAAAAGACAGTTCCTTTTTATATTAATATAACAATACAATACAATTTTACAATGATTTTATAAGTAGCTAAAAAANTTTTTAAAAAGACAGTTTCTTTTTATAATACTTATATAACAATACTATATAATTTTACAATAAAAGACAGTTCCTTTTTATATTAATATAACAATACTATAATACAATAATATAACAATACAATACAATTTTACAATAATTTTATAATGATAGAATAAGTATAAGTGTAGGTAGAATAAATATTTCATATTTAGATTTTATATTGAAAAATTAGACAAAAAAGTACAATTTTGTACTTGTTTCTATTTACGCTTTTGACAAGTCTCTCTAGACAAGTGAATTATTGTTTCCATCGTAGTTTTTTACGCTTAACCATCGACTCAATGAAACTAATTGTTCTGGAGTTCGATGGAATTTTTTTCTTCTTTTTTTTGAGCATAAAAAGTACTATTTTTGAATCGTACTTTGGATGAATAAAACCCTTTATTACTTCCAAATAAATAATTGACTTGTAATTTGTTTCACTCAATGTAGCTCAGAAAATACTGAAGGAAAGATATTTAACCTGCATAGATAGTAACTATAGATAGCAGTGTCAGTTGCATAAATAATCAGTTACAGCGAGAATTTATAATGACAGATAAAATCATCGTTTAAGCAGGATTATCGTCGATCAATTACAAATACTTAATGTTAACCCATGTTGAACTAGCGTGACATATGCGTCACGCAAATTGCGAGAATTCTAAGAGAAGTTTTCTTATCTGAAAGAAAAAACTTTTTTCACACCAAGCAAATGTTTTTTATTTTTATTTTTTAAAAATCAAGTAGTAGCTAGCAAGAGAAAATATTCATTTAAAAAAAAATGGGCTTTCTTTTAATAAGAGTTTTTTTCGGTCACTGCATATAAAAAAATTCAGGCATTATTGAGTTTTAAAATAGCAGGGAAATTACTAAAAAATTAAATCAACATATTTATCTCTTTTTCTTCATTTTGAATATTGATAATTAATAGACTACGGGGCCGGGATAGCCTGGTCGGTAGGGCACTGGGCCCATGTCCAAGAGGTAGTGGGTTCGATCCTCGCCGGCCGAAGACTCCCCGTGTAGTAAATGATGACTGATGTACGTTAAATCTGTTGAGTCTCAAAGTCCTCCATGTTCCCATAACAAATCATACCTCTGGGGGTACTGATCCAGGAGTTTCCTTGTCTTCTAGATTGGTTCAAAATTACAGGGCTACGGAGTTGAACATCAGTAGTCGTAAACCCAATATTGGGTCGCCTGTTCAACGACGGTTATAAAATAAAATAAAATTAATAGACTGCTGGCACAGGATATGGAACGTTCGCCTTCCAATGAGGTGAACCGGGTTCGAATCCCAGTCGAAACGAATTCCGCATCCGGCTTGCACCGACCACAGTGCTGACGTAAAATATCCTCAGTGGGAAACGGATTATGGGTTAGAGTCTCCTTGCAGTCAAACTAACAGTGGGAGGTTTTCGTGGCTTTCTTCTCCATGTTACGCAAATGAAAGTTAGTTCCATCAAAAAGTCCTCCTCGAAGGCAAATTTCTCCCAATACTTAATCCAAGAGCTCCCTTGTCTCCTGGATTGGGCTCAAAATTACAAGGCTACGGAGTTGAACATTAGCAGTCGTGAATTCAAAAAATTGGGTCGGCTGTTCAACGACGGTTATAAAAAAAAAATAAAAAGACTGCTTTTGCTTATGGATTGTAAACTGAATTACGTATCTATGTACATTATGAAAGTCAGAAATGTCAACGGAAGGAATGTTTGATGGACGACTTTCCAAATCTTAAAAAGTTATTGTAAAAGAAAAAAAAGGGGGGGGGGAATGAAAGGCAATAATTTTTGATGTCATGGATAACAGTTAATGTTAATTGTAAATTATCAAAACGGAAAACAAGGGAGCCTGATAGTCAACAAAAGGCGCATTATTATGAAATGCAAGGCAGGATTTCTAAAAATAGAACTTTCCTATGTTGAGAAGATAACTTAGCCAGTGGACACCCACACATTACCTTATGGAAATAAGGTGTAAAAAGTAAGTTTTTTGATTTTCTGTATTGTTGCCAAATATGAATATAAATGTCATCCAATAAAAACTTTTTCATACAATGTTTCTCATTTTAACGGCAGAAAAACGTATTTTTCAAGAAGCGGAAGTTGCCTTTTTTAGTTGCCGAAGGGGTGAGTAGTCGATAAGGTAGCATAACTGTTAACTATTGCACATTTCGCTTAAAATTTTATTTTTATATTTAAAGTGGTATTATGCTTTCTATTTGTTTTTTGAATTTTTTAAATTTAATTTAAAAGGATTTCGTTCACTACTACATAAAAATAAATTTATATTTATATAAGTGCGCGATAATTATATGATGCTGTTTCTAAGCGGGACAGCTGACTGACATGCCATCGTCAGAAAATCATCACGTACTGAAAATTTATAAAAATATAATCTACCAATTTATGTTCAACAAACTAAGCCACCATATCGCTGGTTCAAAGTTAAAACGACACTTCTGCACTCACTTCTCATGTTATTTGAATGAGAAGTGAGTGCAGAAGTGTCGTTTTAACTTTGAACCAGCGATATATTTATGCAACGCTTATGAGACCTATCAGAAAGAGAACAGACATTAAATCTTTGACAAAAGAAAAGAAAAAAACTTTTTCGAAAACATATTTGGCCCTATTAAAGAAAAATATACAGGAGAATTTTGTTTAACCATTAAATATAACGAGAGTACAAACCTAATATTACCCGCTTTATTAAATCTTATCGTATCAGCTGGCTTACACATATTAATTAGAAAATCTATTGAAAAAGTGACAATTGCAAATGTGATAGGTATCAGGAAAAAGCAATTGAGGCAAATCTCAAGGCATTAAAAATCAATTCATTGAGGACCGTGTCACATGTCCGGATCCGTTGTCGAGCGAACTTTGGCCTGCAGCAGGCTGTAGTACAATCGAAAAAGAAGATACATTTAAAATATATTTGATATTAAGCGTCTTTATTTTTATAAGCAATGTCAAACTATTCTGGTTTTGAGATTTTTTTAATATACAATAAAAGGTGTTAAAATGCTCAATTATTTGATTTGAACTTCATAGTTTATTTTAGTTTTATATAATTTGACGATAGTTAGCCGATTGTTAACAAGGTCGTAATCTCATCTCTTCCCGAAAAGTCCTGATCATTTCACTTCTCACCTCTAGAAAGGTATGTTTGATTGCGAATCTTGGGCACTTTCAAGTTAGAAACCTTGTTTTACTATATAAAAATATCTATGGGAAAACTTATCCTTATTGTTCTGCGTGTTGCGTTACTTTCAAAAAAATTAAGGTTCATCAGTGTGCAAACACATACAGAACAAGTCTTATTAGAGTCAAAATTTACGAACATTAACAAGAAGAATTAAAATTATATATTATTTTCGGATATAATATTAGTTAAATAGGTTACTAAGTATTAGAGGATTTTTTTCCGCTCAAATATTACGTAAGCCCTTAAAGGGGGAGGGGTTTTGTGATTTGCTTATTTTTGTTGACAAGGGGATAGGAAGGATATGCTTAAGCAATGCTTACATAAAACAATAAATCTGTAAAATAAACGTAACAAAAAATTTGAGAAAAAAAATTGCATTCAAAAAGTTTAAAATGCGGAACGAAAATTACTTCTGCATAAATAAAACGTTGAAAAAAACCATCTTTAATAAGCTTCGAACTTTGTTATATGTGATGTTACATTTTATGGTTTAATTGAATTTTGTAATTCTTGAAATTAAATTGCTATTAAAGTTACATATTAATTAAATAAAAACTTTAAAGTTTAAAGAAATAATTATATAACCATTTTAAGTGAGAAATGAACTTTTACGTACTGTTAACATGTATCAATAAAGAATTAACGTGTTTTATATACTATTGAATTAAAATTACATTTTTGTAGTGGTAGATACACTATACATATATCTTATATTTACTTTCGATTAGTCAAACTATTCGAATAAATTTTATATGATAAGTATTTTATAAGGTGAACATTTATTAATCGTTTAATTACTAAATATAGTCATTGAATTTCTCAGAAATCTAAATAATAGCATGTCTTTAATGCTATTGTTTATTAAAAATTATTTATGCACTGATATCGATAGTTTGTGCGCTTCTTTCAAACTATATTGTGCATGCTTTGAGGGAACAATGTTTGTATTTTTGAAATAGAGATATTATCAAAAATGAAAGTTTATGAATATTTTTTTAATATTTTCTACAGTTAAACTTAACACTGAAAATTGAAAAAAAAAAAAAGCAAAATGAAAAATCTTTAATTGTAGAATCAAAGAGATAAAAAAATGACACTGTTATTATTATTTTTTCTAAATTTTTTACTTAATTTGTTGCATTCTAGAGATACAATCATAACAAAAATGTTTTTTTTCTCTATTTTCTTTTTTTACACCTCATATGTATAAAAAAAAATCTTATTAAATTAAAAAAAGAAGCAAAACTAAAAATCGTGTAAAATTTAAAAAAATAAAAAAAAATAATTAATTTTTAAACATAGCATTTCGCTATTCTCACTTTACTTAATTTGTTACGTTTTAAAAATACGAATTATTATCAAAATAATAAATTATATATTTTTCTAAATTCCATCCTTAAAAAAGCAAAATGTGAAATCATACATGGTAGACTTAAATGAATAAAAAAATCTGTTCTAATAGTTGTGNTTTTTTGTTTTTGTTGTTAAGAACTTATCGTATCAGCTGGCTTACACATATTAATTAGAAAATCTATTGAAAAAGTGACAATTGCAAATGTGATAGGTATCAGGAAAAAGCAATTGAGGCAAATCTCAAGGCATTAAAAATCGATTGATTGAGGACCGTGTCGCCTGACCGAAACCGTTGCCGAGCCAACTTTGGCCTGCAGTAGGCTGTAGTACAATCGAAAAAGAAGAAGATGCACTTTAAATATATTTGATATTAAGTGTCTGTATTTTTATTAACAATGTCAAACTATTCTGGTTTTGAGATTTTTTTTAATATACAATAAAAGGTGTTAAGATGCTCACTTATTTTATTTGAACTTCATTGTTTATTTTAGTTTTATATAATTTGACGATATTTAACGCCGATTGTAAACAAGGTCGTAATCTCATCTCATCCCGAAACCTCTAGAAAGGTGTGTTTGATTGCGAATCTTGGGCACTTTCAAGTTAGAAACCCTGTTTTATTATATAAAAATGTGTATGGGAAAACTTAACCTGATTGTTCTGCGTGAAGTGTTTCTTTCAAACATTTAAAAATTAGATTAAAGCCAAATAAATTTTATAAAACGTATATCCTTTTTAATAATCATAATAAAAAAATTAAGGTTTCATCAGTGTGCAAACGCATAAAGAACAAGTCTTATTAGAGTCAAAATTTACGAACACTAACAAGAAGAATAAAAATTATATATTATTTTCGGATGTAATATCAGTTAAAAATAGGTTTCTAAGTACTATTAGCGGATTTTTTCCGTTCAAATATTAGGTAAGCCCTTAAAAAGGGGGGGGGGGTTGTGATTTGCTTATTTTTGTTGACAAGGGGGATTGGAAGAAAATGCTTACGCAATGTTTACGCTAAACAATAAATCCGCAAAATAAATGTAACAAAAAATTTGAGAAAAAAAAATTGCATTCAAAAAGTTTCAAATTTGGAACGAAAATTACTTTTGCATAAATAAAACGTTGAAAAGAACCATTTTTAATAAGCTTCGAACTTTGCTATATGTGATGTTACATTTTATGGTTTAATTGAATTTTGAAATTAAATTACTATTAAAGTTAAATTATAAATAAAAATTTTAAAAATCGAAGTCTTCTGATCTATCAACATTCATCTATGACGAATTACTTAACAGTCTGCCGTTTTAACATGTTTTATATACTAGTGAATTAAAATTAGATTTTTGTAGTGGTAGATACACATATATGTTTACTTTCGATTAGTCAAACTATTCGAATAAATTTTATATAAGTATTTCATAAGGTGAACATTTATTAATTGTTTAATTGCCAAATGTAGTCATTGAATTTCTCAGAAATCTAAATAATAGCACGTCTTTAATGCTTTTGTTTATTAAAAATTATTTAAGCACTGATATCGATAGTTTGTGCGCTACTTTCAAATTATATCGTACATGCTTTGAGGGAACGATGGTTGTATTTTTGAAATAGAGATATTATCAAAAGTGAAAGTTTATGAAAGTTTTTTTAATATTTTCTACAGTTAAACTTAACACTGAAAATTGGAAAAAAAAAAGCAAAATGAAAAATCATTAATTGTAGAATCAAAGAGATTAAATAATGAGACTGTTATTATTATTTTTTTCTAAATTTTTACTTCATTTGTTACATTCTAAAGATACAATCAAAACATAGATATTTTTTTTCACTATTTTCTTTTTTTACATCTCATAGCTATAAAAAAAATCTTATTAAATTAAAAAAAGAAGCGAAAACTAAAAATCGTGTAAAATTTAAAAAGATAAAATTTTTTATTTTTAAACATAGCATTCCGCTATTCTCACTTTACTTAATTTGTTATGTTTTAAAGATACGAATTATTATCAAAATAATAAATTATATATTTTTCTAAATTCCATCCTTAAAAAAGCAAAATGTGAAATCATACATGGTAGACTTAAATGAATAAAAAAATCTGTTCTAATAGTTGTGTTCTGATTACAGAATTAAGTTATTCATTTATTTCTTTTTTGCGTCGAAAATACTGTAATCGACTCAAAAAGTTTGAAAATTTTCACTGCTTCCTTTCTACAATTCTTGTTCTAAAAATGTATAGTTAAGTTGGAAGGAAGTAAATTGAAAAATCAAACGTTATAAAATAATGATAAATAAAAAGAATGTTTAAATGAAAATAAATTGTTCCAAGAACTGATTTGAAAGTAGATAAATGAAAATTTGGTTATAATAGAATAAATAAAAGAATAAAAGAAAATAATTTTTTGATCATGATGTTAAATTTTTCTCACTTATTTCATACGTTACAATATATAAATATATATAATTGATAACGGGAAATTTTTCAGGAATGGATTTAAAATATTTTCATAATAAGATTGCCAGATTGTTCTTTAGATCCAGATTGTTCTAACTTGTTCTTTTTCTCTTTTTTTATTATTCTGTAATTTTTTTCATGTTTTGTCTACGTTTTGAACTTAGAGATAGATAAATGCTATTATAGAGACAGAAACGCAAATTCTTTTATTTATTTTTCTATGACTGTTGCTCGAAAAATTTGTTTTAAAATTTTAAATAAGAGAAATGAAAAAAAGCTAAGTAGTACTTGTTCTACGTACTAACTTAGTACTACTAAGCACTAACTTGTGGAACTAAGAAGAGAAGGTAAAAAAAAAAGATTATTTGATCATGGTATTTAATTTTTCTCACATATTTCATACGTTACGTTCAAAGATAAAACTACTATTATCGAGACAGAAAGTTTTCTTGATGAAAGATCCGTAACGCCGCAAACATAAATAATTCTCGTCTGGAAGAATGTCTCGCACAAGATCAGTATATTAAATGATACTTGAAGGAAGGAGAAATATTTCAAGAAATAAAAAAAATGGATGGGCACCTGTTGAGCGAAGAAGTTTGGCGAAAGTTATTCGGGTAACCCTACAGACCAGGCAGCTGGTTTTTTTGTTTTTGTTGTTAAGAAGTGAAGTCAGTCAGTTAGCATTTTGACCTCGGAGAGAGATGTTCGGAGGGGAAACCCGATTTGGTTGATCCGAAAGAATCGCTTGCAGTGCTCTTGGAATTTTGTTTTGAAGCTTCATTCCCCCCAGCCGCGGCGCGCATTTTCGGAATTAATTCAACTGCTGGTTCTGTTCGACTATGGTAATATGCATTTTGTTCGATGGATTACCCGTGGAATCGGGGTAAGTTGCACTTCTAATTCAATTTTAGATGGAATTTAATAAGCGAAATGCCGACTGAACTTAATTTGAGAAACATTTTTATACTGAATAAATCGAAATGGCCCCGAAGCAAAATTAAATACCCGATGTTATTGCCTGTGTACTTAATGTTCTTTCTCGTTCGGACTTCAACGGGACAGGGGCAAACGGTGAGATCGCGTGAAGTGGATATGCGGGTACAATTTGAAATAGAAGAAGGCCAGCCCCCAGGCTCTGTTGTTGGTACCATTCCTACAAAACCCAACTTTACCTACAGATTTAACGAACGACCACCGGAGTTTTACTTAAATGGCAGTACGGGTGTAATAACAACGGCTATGGAAATTGACAGAGAAATGCTGGCTAGTGAAAAATTTGACTTAGTCATTTTGAGTAGTCAACCAACATATCCAATAGAGCTTCGGATAGTTGTTGTAGACATCAATGACAACTCTCCCAAATTTCCAGAGCCTGGTATCGAAGTTTCTTTTTCAGAAAGTGCCAACGTAGGAACTCGAGTCATACTGGATACGGCAACCGATCGTGATGTTGGTATTAATGATGTTAATACTGACTATAAAATTGTTTCTGGAAATTCCCAGTCTAAGTTTAGACTCGTAGTGACTACAAATCCCAGTGGTGAAACGCCATATGTTCACCTAGAAACAACTGGAAAATTAGACAGGGAAATAACATCTGAATACCAGTTAAATATTTCAGCACAAGACGGAGGTACGCCTCCTCGCTTTGGCTATTTAACAATAAACGTAACAATTTTGGATGTAAATGATAATCCTCCAATATTTGATCACAGTGATTACTCGGTAAGTTTAAATGAGAGTGTTCCTCCGGGAACCAGTGTCTTGCAAGTCCGAGCAACCGATAACGATATTGGAGATAATTCGAAGATAACTTATTTCTTGAGTGACATTGAGAATCAATTTGCCGTAGATCCTCAAACTGGTGTAATAACCACACTCGAGGTATTGAAATGTCAACAAAATTGTCCGACTCAAGGAAAATGTCCCAAGAGTTGCGTTTTTACAGTTTTTGCTCGAGATCACGGTTCGCCACGCTTGGATGGCAGAGCTTATGTCACCGTTAATTTATTAGATGCCAATGATCACGACCCTAGCATAAGATTTAGGTTTTTTCCATCCACAGCTAGCTATGCCACCGTTGATGAAAATGCTCACAATGGCTCTGTAGTTGCTGCTGTTAGTGTTATCGATTTGGATGAGGGTCCCAACGGAGAAACTTCAGTCGAAATAGAATGTGGCAATGAGTTGGGATATTTTCGTCTGGAATCTACGCCTAGTTTTGACATTGTACGGGTTAATGGAGTGCTTGACCGAGAAGAAATCAGTAAATATAATCTCACTATAACCGCAACTGACCATGGCATTCCGCCTCGAAGTTCGACAGCATTTTTAATAATTCACGTGAATGATGTCAATGATCATGAACCGATCTTCGATAAAAATGCATATTCAGCTGTACTGAGCGAGACAGTACTCGTTGGTACCTTTGTCGCTGGCATAAGTGCTACAGACGAAGATTCCGGTGTAAATTCTGAAATTTATTATGCTATAGTCTCTGGTAATGACAGGCGTTGGTTTGACATAGATGTCCACACGGGTTTAGTGACCACATCTCAGGCCCTGAATCGAGAAGATCAAGATTACGTCGAGCTTAAAATTTCTGCCAGAGATGGCGGCCCGAATCCGAGATTCAGCTATACTTATCTTAAAATACAAATTCTGGATGAGAATGATGAGACGCCATACTTTTCTGAAGATATCATCAATGTTACATTACTTGAAAGTGCACCTCCGAATTCTCTTATCACTGTTGTTACTGCTGTAGATAATGATTTTGGATTAAATGGTAGTGTAGGATATTTTTTCCACTCGGACGTTGAGCGTTTATATCCTAACAAGTTTTTATTAGATCCAACTTATGGTAGATTAACTCTTAAAGAACAGCTAGACAGAGAGAAAAAAGATATATTATCTCTGGTAATAATAGCAAAAGATGAAGGCGAACCTTCTCTTTCTGGCACTGTAACGGTTCGCATTATCTTATTGGATGTAAATGATAATAAACCAAATTTTTATCCGAAGCAATATTTTAGAACTGTGAGTTCCTCAGACTCACCTGGCACTGTTATTGCTCATTTGATTGCAACAGATGCTGATATAGGTAAAAATGCAGTATTGAAATTCAGTTTAATTAATAGTGATGGAAATTTTGAAATTGATGAAGACACGGGTGTATTACAAACGAAGAATGTTCTTAGGAAGCGAGATTTCTCAAAATATGTGTTAAAAGTTGCCGTCAGAAACCCAAACGAAGGAGGTATGGATATGTCTGACGAGGCAGTTGTTTTTGTTTACGTGAGGGGAGACGGCCCAGCAAGTGACTTTGATTCTAATAAAGTATATAATTTTATCGTAGAAGAAAACATGAAACCAACAGGATCAAATAGTGAAATTGCAAGATTGCCTGTAAGATCAATTGGTTCTGGAGTTAAATATAGTATCGTTGATGGCGACTCTGACGAGTTATTTCGAATCGACGAATCCCTTGGCATTATTCATAGCGTGCAATCTATTGACCGTGAAAAGCATTCCCAGTTTTCTCTCGATATCGTGGCGTATGATTTAGTGGGGTTCACCCACATGACTGTTAATATAACAGTAGCAGATCTTAATGACTGTTCTCCGACTTTTGAATATACCAGTGGTGCTATCGAGGTAATGGAGGATTGGTCAGTTGGGCATGAAGTTTATCTCGTAAAAGCTTATGATTTGGATACTGGCCTTAATGGTATGATTGAATATTCTCTATCCACAGAGCATAATACATTTTATATTGATAAAGCTTTGGGAATGATTTATTTGAATAGACAAGTTAGGTCTGAAGTCGGGAATGAATATAAAGTATTTGTAACAGCTCGTGATCTTGGCATGCCATCTTTGTCTTCAACATTACAATTGTCGATTGTCATAGCTGATGTTAATGACCGAACACCGGTTTTTGATCACCAGTCTTATGAAACTTCTTTGGTAGAATCCGTACCAGTGAATGACAGATTTTACCTGTTACGAGCTACAGATGCAGATTACATATTCAACCAAGTGACATACTCAATTACATCAGGAAACGAAGAGAATCGCTTTGGTATTTTCCCAGATGGCTATTTATATGTAAAAAGGCCACTAGATCGTGAAAAGAAAGACTTCTATTCTCTGAAAGTAACTGCTTCGGATAACGGTAAGGTATCTCGTAGCTCTTCGGTTAACATAGTGATTCATATTATAGATGAAAACGATAACAGTCCTTCGTTTGATAACAAAACATTTCAGTTTTTCATAAGTGAAAACGAACCACCTGATACTTACGTAGGAAGATTGTCGGCTGAAGACTCCGATACCGGAAGAAATGCTGAATTGACATATTCAATATTTTCTACTAACACCCAAACAGATTTTATGATCAACCCTAAAACTGGATTTATGAGAACCTTGCGATATTTTGACAGAGAACAACTCATTGAATCCTCTGGGCATGATTATCTAGTTCTTGATGCAGTTGTCAAAGATGGAGGTGCTACGAGGTTAAAGGATGAAGCTAAAGTTATTATCCATATAACAGATGTTAACGATAACTCTCCTCAGTTTATTCGAACGCCCTATCTGGCAACTATATCTGAAAGTTCACCTGCGAGCACCCAAATAATTAGAGTGGCTGCTGTTGATGTAGATCATGGGATTAATGGAAACATAAAATATTCTATTGTTCATGGAAATATTGGGGAAGTTTTCCAAATTGATGATATAACTGGTCAAATTGCTGTTTATAAACCGACTTTGGATAGGGAAACCTTCCCTCAGTATGTTTTAACTGTTATGGCTAGGGATATGGGTGAGGATATTTCCCACAACTCCACCACCCTTGTTAAGATAGATTTATTGGATGAAAATGACAACATTCCACGTTTTGTTAATGAAACAACCAAGTTTATCAATATAAGTGAAGACGCTACCGTTGGCTCTAAAATCTTCACCTTTTCTGCCACCGATGATGATTTGGGAGTGAATTCTGAAATTTCTCATTTCATTGCGTCTGGAAATTTTAAAGAAACTTTTCGCATTGACAGCATATCTGGCTCGCTCTATCTAGCTCGGCCATTGGATTATGAAGACAAAAACAACTATGTTTTAAATGTCAATGCGAGTGACAGTGGCACCCCTCGACTTGCCACGACTATGAAGATCGTGATAAGAATTCAAGACGTGAACGATAACGCCCCTCGTTTTTCGAGTTCCTCTGTCGTGCGTAAAATCGATGAAAATATCCCACCCAAAACTCCGGTTGTGACGATAAATGCTGAAGATCGGGATTCCGGTGCGAACGGGAAAATTATTTTTAACATATCTCACCAAGACCCCCCTGGTTCTCATTTCGCTATCCAACCTGAGACAGGACTGATTTACACAACAGAAGTGATTGATAGAGAATACAGTGAAACTTTTAGATTAACCGTTGTCGCAACCGACCAAGCTGAGGATATAGCAATGCGCTTGTCTGTAGAAAGAATCGTGACTATAATTGTCGGTGATATAAACGATAATGCGCCAACCTTTGAATCGATGGATGCCGGAGTTTTGCCTGGGGGTAAGGACAAAGGTTACAAGATTATGACCTTGTCCGCAAGTGATCCAGATGCCAATAATAATGGAATGGTTACGTACGAACTTGAAGAGGGTGATTTGTCTTTGTTTACATTAGATAGGATAACTGGAGATTTGTACACAGCTGTGGCCATTAATGAACCAGCAGTTTCATACACACTCACTGTAAAAGCAACAGACGAAGCCGTTATTTCGGCTCGTAAATCATCGCGCAGCAAGGTGACGATTATTGGAACGATTGGAAGCAACAATGGTCCAGCGTTTTCTGCCTCGGTTTATGCTGGTTCCGTTCCAGAAAATAAACCGGTGGGAACCAGTGTTTTAAGTGTTTATGCAAAAAGTGAAACTGGAAATAAAACACACGTGGAATATTTTTTAGCTGCGGTTACTAACCATGCTGAATTACCGGAAAGTAGAATATTTGCTATTAATAGATATAGTGGAGTGATTTCAACCGCCGCTGTGTTAGATAGAGAAAAAAGTGGTGGTGAAAGCAATTTCTTTCATTTGGATGTGTATGCTGTGGAAACTACGGCCAAAATACCCAAGACATCAAAAACGAAGGTAAGTGCTATATTTATATATTTGTCTCTATTCTGTGATTCTTTAAATTTTCTAAATAATAATTTAATTTATTATTCTACTGCACAAAAATTAAAAATTGTTTTGATACGAATAAATTCTAAATTATAATACTCATAAAAAAATACCTTTTGCTAATTATGTTGAATTTTTGTAGAAAAAGAACATGTTGAATGTTTTTATAGAATATTTATTTATTTTCTTTATTATATATTTTTTCTTTTTGGTCTTCAATGTAAAACACTTATGGTAGAATTTAGCTTCTTTTGAAAGTTTAAAATTTGTATTTATAATATTTTTTACAATTTATTTTATGAAAACATAATGGTTGGATTTGAATATATTCGATAAAAATAGCAAACTCACTTTGAAATAAGAAACTGTGTTACTAAGTGTGGCTATACCTTATTTTGTTTCAAAAGCAGGCAAGAATTTATGAAAATTGGAAACAACATTCACTTAACTTTTTTATTAAAATTTTTTCTATATAAAAAAAAATTAAAAACAATAGGGCGACTACAAAAATATTTTACTTATTTGATTAAATACTTGTGATATTAGATTTAATAAAATACCAGACTTAATTGATACCAGACTTAATATAATACTTTAAATTTTTGCATTGAAAATATTCTTTGTTTTATTCTTTGACCTGGTGGAAGCATTTTATTTGTAATAATAATTAAATAAAACAGCTATAGGATTTGTTTTTTATGAAAATGTAATTCGTTGCATAATTTTTATAAGTTTGTAAACATTGGAATTAAAGCATATTTTAATTAACAATTTATTAATATGTAAATTAAAATATAGACAATACTATACTATCATTTGTTGATTAACATTAAATGAATATGAGTTAATATCTATTGATATCTATAGATATAGTTTTCAAAAAGGAAAATTTAAAAGTATAATTATTTATGCTTTTACTGATCAATATACAGTACAGAACCCGTTATCCGGAAATCAGAAAACCGGAAAACCAAAAAACCGGAACGAAATTCGATACATTTTCTCGCAATTTTTTTTTTTTAAATTTTTTTTCGTCATAAGATTTTACGATTTTTCTTTCTTTTTTTAAAGATGTTTACCTTACCATCATTTTGGAAATAATCATTAGTGTATTACTTCATCGTTTTTTCTTATTTTTAAGATTATTTCCAATTTTTTTTTTCTTTTTAGTTGGGTTTAGCAATAAAAAAAACGGCTTTTTGTAGCGATTCAGAAAACCGGAAAAATCAGTTATCCGGAATAGCGATTGTCGCGACCGTTCCGGATAATCGCTTTCCTACTGTACTTGTAATGCATATTTAAGTTGTATTCAAGTGTTAGATGTTTCATTATTTTGATTGCAGGATTGATTATGAATTTTAATAGTTTAACAATTTTATAACTTTCTTCGAAAAAAAAAATTTTTTTTTTGAAATTTTTATCTGCATAGCTCAAGTAAAAAAATAAAAATGATAGCACAGTGAAACCTCTTGTTAGCGACCACTCTCTGTTCCACAGTAAAATGGTCGCTCTTTGGGGTTACCTCCATTGACTTCAAAATGTTATCGAATGACATGATTTTTCGCAAATAATTTTAATTTTAGGCAGTGTCGTTTTCTTAACACGGAAATGCCATTTATGTTGGTGTCAAGAAAACTGGATTGCTGAATATAATTCAGCATCAATAAAAATGATCCCTGTCGATATAATTATGTGTAGAAACTAATTTACCAATTTTGAATGATCGAACTTTTTCAAATAAATAAACAACTATGTCTTAAGCTTGCATTTAATTTTGCAGAAAAAATAGTTAAGAGGTTTGTTTGCAACGCTTAGTTTTTTCTGAAAAAATTTTTTTTCTTCTAATTTAACTTTCAACTGTAAAAATAAATTACGATTGCATTGTCTTTAGTGTAGCCTGACTGCAACATGAGGTTATAGATCTCTTTGAGATATCCTCAAAAAGAGCTCACTAAATAATAGCCTTACACAAATATTTTGAATACATTTTAATCTACTTGTTTTTGTTTTGATATTTTTTCATGCTTCCTTATTTGACCTTTTCTGAATTTGGTGCAGAGATTTGCCTGGTTTTCTGCAACATAAGTCTAGGGTGAAAATTCTGTGCCTACTAAAAGTAGTCATAAGTATAAGAGGTCACTACATAGAGGTGGTCTTTCTTGAAAGTTTCACTGTAATTGTAAATTATAATTTTTTTCCAAGTTTTCCAATTTATATTATTTTGATTAAATGTAAATTTTCTTTATCAATATGAAAAAATAAATGCAGGAAAAATAAATTTTACAGGGAATACATGATTATGAGATCAGTTTTGCAATTAAATCTAAAAAATCTTCAATCCCAAAACAAATTTTACTGTAATAATTTAAAATTACGCTCTTCTTCATTTATATTTAAGAAAAATATCTGTTCTAGATTAGTTATTTTTTCTAGGCTCTTTTAATTATTAATCAAGTGTAGATTTAATAAATGCATTGATACAATTTGAAATATAAGCCATCATATCAACAATTTTCAAATTCATAATTTTACCAAGTAAATTACTCAGTTTTGTGATTGATGTAAAATTTATTTCAGGGAGAAAAATATTTATTTTAAAAATTAAAAAATTTATTTAGAAAATTAAAAAATTTCTGTAGAAAATTATTTGATGAATTCAGCTAGTTTTGTTTTGTCTACAAATCTGTATATATTTCTAACTCGATTTCCTCGTGTTTATTTACAAATATTAAAAACCGCCGGGATTCAATTTGTCTTGTAGTTAATTGTGAAGCGTTCTGATATAAGCTTTGACCTAACTCTCTTTTTTTCTTTTAATAGTCTTTCCCTTGGCCAAGGTCTTTCCAAAGGAAGGGTCGATTGTTAAGCAAATAGAGTATAATTAAAACAATCATAATTTATTTTTAGGAAAGGATATACTTTTTATTACCATTTTAAAATTTTTTTTGTTTGCTTTTTAAAATAAATTGTGATGAAATTAGATTTTTATCTTGATAATAGGAAAGAATGTTTTTTTTATAAATATTTTTTTATTATTTTTTAAGAAGTTTTCAATTAAAAATAGTATTCTATTTCGTTATGATTATTATTATTATTATAATTTTTTATTTTAATCAAGTTAGATTAGAATAAATAATTTCAGGTTTGCCGATTTCAACCGGGTCTTATAAAACCAACCGATTCTTCCACCCTTCCTGGTTAAGTCAAAGTTAATTATTTTGTCTAGAGTTGTTCCAAAATGCAGGGTACTTGAAAGCAAAATAATGTTATTCGATAACTACAGTGATATGGTTGGATATATAGAACAATACTGAGCAATAATTTCATACTTTTAAGGCAGTTAAGAGTGTCAGTTTTAGGAGTATGGAATCATTGTTACTAGCAGTAATTTTATTCTACTTAAAGCTATATTTAAGAAATAACTTTCTTTTTTAAATGCAGCATTACTATATGAATTACACAAAATTGATAAAAATTACTAATTTTTTCACTTAAGAGGAAGCCATGCCGCGAAAATAAAATAAATTTTAAATTATGATAAAATAAATTTTTCTGCATAGTTAAAATAAAATATTATACACCAAGTATTATATTCAATGTTATGCACACATACCTAGTCTTAATTTTTAATACAAATTAATAATGTTTAAATTATTAATTAAGATAAGGAAAAAAAACTAAAAGCTCCGTCCCCAAAAAGTAGTTTTTCTTCTTCTTTTAATTGTAAAATATTTACTATTTTAAACAAATTTAATAATAGCTAAAAATTGTTAATGTTTTGAATACAACTTAAAATGAGTATGTCGCAAAAGATCTGCGGTTATCTTTCCTTTCTTTTACAAATATGAAGAACGCGAATGTAAAATTTTCTTAAAACAAAATTTTTGACACCTCTTCCTAAACTCTTTTTCATTTGCGGATGGCGTCTTCATTAGTTTAGAGAAAAGTAAGTTCAAATAATCCTAGAGTAAACTATAAAGTTTCAAATGTTGAAAAATTTTTCAAAATTTCGAAATGCAAACAAATTATTTGGAGATCTTCCTCACAGTGTATTTAATTCTAAGTGATTTTCTCATTTTTTTTNTTTTTTTTTTTTTTTTTTTTTTTTTTTTTTTTTTTTTTTTGCATTTCGATATTTTAAAGAATAATTTTCAGCATTTTTGATAGCTTAAACTAAATCTCAGAAATCACTTTTTCTGTATTTTATATTTTAAATTACTAATAGGGGTGAAAGAGAATGTGCCGTGAATAGTTTCTCTCTCGGTACAGCGTCCTCTTGAGCAACAATTTTTTTTTATTATTTTTTTATTTTTTTATTTTTAAAGAGCAAATCTAGTGTTGACTTGAAAAACTTTTGATGTAAATTTAGGCAAATATGCACGGATTAAACAAATAGAGGTGCTTAAATGAGCAATCACATCTTTTGTTTTTTCTTTATTGTTATTAAAAACGTTTAATTTGAAACGGCATGAGGATATAAAAACTGACATGAGACGACATAAAAAATGTTTAACAAATGTTTATAATCCAAGCAACTTTGTAAAAATTTAAAAATCAAAAAAAGAAAATTCGATTATAAAAATATCCTTTCGAAAAGTTAATCTGTTTAATACAATAAAATAGTACAAGTAATTTTGTTCTTGGTGCAATGAATTGTTAAACGAAAATCACTAATTACCTTTTCATTCATTTCTGAAATAAGTCTTCAATTTTATCAATTTTTATACTTAATCTGTTTTGTTTTTCATTCCTTATTCCTTACTAAACGATATTTAAAAAATTCTTACATTGGATGATATACTGAAATTAGATATGTTAATGTTTGAGGAATAACATTCTGGCAAGTTAAAATAAATTAGATTTGAGTATCAGTATATGAAAATGCGTAATTATATAATTAATTTATAGTTTTCGCTTAAAATATTTTGAAAATAATAATTAGTTTTAAAAACAAAATGTAAGAAATA